CAAATTCCCCTTTAAAACTTCCTTAAATCCATTTCAATTCCCATTGTTACTTGGTTACGGTCATTTCTGTTAATGCATTCAATATTATTATTCCAGTCTTCCCGTTATCATTGTCGGAGTAGTCACATTGTTTGCAGAGTGCACAACCTATGCTACACTTGTGAGAAATAAGTTTTGGTATATTTCATTGCATTTACAAGTTTTGTCAATTTAGTCATTGTCTTTTGTTTGGAGCGCTCCTGTCAATGTTGAGTAAGGATGCGCACGCATAGAAGTAGGCCTATAGGACCTACCCCTCTCCAGGATAGGGGCCTCCCAGTGGTGCGCGTCGCCATCCCGGCCCGGCCTGTTCCTGCTCCCCGCACCAGGCCAGTGGTGCGCGTCGCCAGTCCGGTACGGCCCGTTCCTGCCCCCGCACCAAGCAAGTGGTGCGCGTCGTCAGCCCAGTCCGGCCCGTTCCTGCTCCCCGCACCAAGCCAGTGGTGCGCGTCGTCAGCCCAGTCCGGCCCGTTCTTGCTCCCCGCACCAAGCCAGGGGTGCGCGTCGTCAGCCCAGTCCGGCCCGTTCCTGCTCCTCGCACCAAGCAAGTGGTGCGTGTGTCCAGTCCGGCACGGCCCGGGCCTGTTCCACCGGTGCCTGGTCCAGCTCCGGTCAGCGGCTCCACTCCGGAGCCAGAGCAATCCGCTCCACCGGGGTCCAGTCCAGCTCCGGCCAGCGGCTCCACTCCGGAGCTGGAACCGCCTCCGAGGCGGAATGCCCACCCGGCCCCTACCCTGTTAGGTTTATGTGGCGCGGTCGGAGTCCGCACCTTTGGGGGGGGGGGGGTACTGTCACGCCCTGACTCTAGGGACTTGTATTGGTTGAGTCAGGGTGTGTATTTTCTGTGTTGGGTTTGTCTATGTTAGTTTCTAGATCATTTAAATCAATGTTGGCCAGGGTGGTTCCCAATCAGAGGCAGCTGTAGCTCGTTGTCTCTGATTGGGGTCCATACTTAGGTAGCCTGTTGGCACTAGTGGGGTGTGGGATCTTGTTCCGTGTGAGGTATGTTATTTGTCTACCTTGGACTTCACGTTTCATTTGTTGTTTTGTCGTGTGTTCAGTACGTAAATAAATATGAATGCATATCACGCTGTGCCTTGGTCCTTCTCGTTCATGAACGATTGTGACAGTACTGTCACGCCCTGACCTTGAGAGCCCTGGTATTTCTCTAGTTAGTTTGGTCAGGGTGTGAATGCTAGTTGATCTATGTTATATATTTCTATGTTGGCCCGGGTGTGGTTCCCAATCAGAGGCAGCTGTCGATCGTTGTCTCTGATTGGGGATCATACTTAGGCAGCCATTTTGCCTACCTATGTTATGGGATCTTGTTTCTGTTTGGCTTGTTTGATGTTTAGCCTCTTGAACAGCACGTTCTGTTGGATTTTGTTATTTTGTCGGTGTTTATTAAAATAGACTATGTACGCATACCACGCTGCACCTTGGTCCGATCCCTTATACAACGAACGTGACATCTGCTCAAGTCAAGCACTGCTTCTTATCCCTTGAGCAAATAGCCTACAGCTTTTTAATTTTTTTATTTCACCTTTATTTAACCAGGTAAGCCAGTTGAGAACACGTTCTCATTTACAACTGCGACCTGGCCAAGATAAAGCAAAGCAGTGCGATAAAAACAACAACAACACAGAGTTACATATGGAATAAACAAAACGTACAGTCAATAACACAATAGAAAAATCTATATACAGTGTGTGCAAATGTAGTAAGTTATGGAGGTAAGGCAATAAATAGGCCATAGTGCAAAATAATTACAATTTAGTATTAACACTGGCGTGATAGATGTGCAGAAGATGATGTGCAAATAGAGATACTGGGGTGCAAATGAGCAAAATAAATAGAAGTAGAGTTTACGGTCCAACCAGACACCTAGGTATTTGTAGTTGTCCACATATTCTAAGTCAGACCCGCCGAGAGTAGTGATTCTAGTCGGGCGGGCGCGTGCAAGCAGCGTTCGATTGAAGAGCATGCATTTAGTTTTACTATAGTTTAAGAGCAGTTGGAGGCTACTGAAGGAGTGTTGTATGGCATTGAAGCTCGTTTGGAGGTTTGTTAACACAGTGTCCAATGAAGGGCCAGATGTATACAAAATGGTGTCGTCTGCGTAGAGGTGGATCTGAGAATCACCAGCAGCAAGAGCGACATCATTGATATACACAGAGAATAGAGTCGGCCCGAGAATTGAACCCTGTGGCACCCCCATAGAGACTGCCAGAGGTCCAGACAACAGGCCCTCCGATTTGACACATTTAACTCTATCTGAGAAGTAGTTGGTGAACCAGGCGAGGCAGTCATTTGAGAAAAAAAGGCTATTTAGTCTGCCAATAAGAATGCAGTGATTGACAGAGTCAAAAGCCTTGGCCAGGTCGATGAAGACGGCTGCACAGTACTGTCTTTTATCGAGCGTGGTTATTATATCGTTTAGGACCTTGAGCGTGGCTGAGGTGCACCCATGACCAGCTCGGAAACCAGATTGCGTAGCGGAGAAGGTACGGTGGGATTCGAAATGGTCGGTGATCTGTTTGTTAACTTGGCTTTCAAATACTTTCGAAAGGCAGGGCAGGATGGATATAGGTCTGTAACAGTTTGGATCTAGAGTGTCACCCCCTTTGAAGACAGCTGTGTCTGTCCCGAGCTCACTGGTCCAGGAAACTGAAGGCCCAGAATATTTTATACAATGTTTCAAGTTCGCTAGGCAAGCTTCTGGCTGGACCCAAGTTAATAGTTGATACAATGTTTCAAGTTTGTTGCAGACAGGCCATGTGTAGCCAATGTGATTTATAGGATTTCTATTTTTATCAGGATATTTTCTACCTGTGGGCTGCAATGTTTTTATTTGTTGGCTTTATGTAGGCTATTTTTACATAGTTACTTTTTAGGTTTGTATCATTTTCATTTAGATTTGGATAGAATTTTGATTAAGCATTTGACAATGATTAAATGAAACTGTTTCATGAAAATGTGCATATGAAAACCATAACTGGCACGCAGATCGGTAGAAATGGTAAGATAAATTGGCCTTCCACATGAGAAAGGTTTCCGACTCCTCTTGTAGCCAATTTCCGGAAACTTCAGGAGAGTAATGGCAGAATCTGCGAAAGCCAGCAGGAGCGGGAGGAGAATAGTTGAGCTATTTGTCTTATTTAATCAAACCGTAAACTTAAAGCATCAGACAAGCTCAATGCATATAGCTGTTTTTATTAAAACACATAGGTTGTGTCTATATATGGAAAAATACACATTTATAAATGTCGACCAATCGAACAGACGACTTTCGGTCGACCAATACTTTTTTAGTCGGGGACATCCCTACTTGGGTCAGTTTCGCATTTCCCCCCCACTAATGGTTAAGGTTAGGATTGTGGGAGGAAAAGCTGATCCTAGATCTGTACCTAGGGGAACCTAAACCCCGGAGCCCCTGGCTACTACAGCTGTAGAATATTAGATCCATCTAAAGATCCATTTAATGATAGACTCCTAAACATAGATAGGATCCTCCTCTGTCGTTGTGGTCTCTTTTTACACTGCAGTAGCCACTTGGTCTCTCGCACTCTCTCTCTCTCTCTCTCTCTCTCTCTCTCTCTCTCTCTCTCTCTCTCTCTCTCTCTCTCTCTCTCTCTTGCTCCCTCTCCCTCCCTCTCTCTCTCTCTCGCCAAACACAGTCATGTGTCACCATTCTCTCCAGACCTGGGTTCAAATACTATTTGAACCGGATCGGTTCTAGTTATAAAGGACAGCTATGTCATCTGGGCTGGAATCTGCACTGTCTCCCGCTGTGTTCTACTGACGCGTGTATGTACATGGGTCTGTTTTGGAAACTGGTCTATGTTGCTCTGTATTGAGTGTATGGGTTTTTGGGTTTGCTTTATTTTTGGACAGAGAAGGGTCTGATTTGAGTACACTTACATTTTACATTTCAGTCATGTAGCAGAGTAGGCTACCGCAAGTAGGCTACAGTAGAGTACAGTTCATGGGGTGTGTTTTGGTTGTTTTCAATGCAAAGGAAGGATTGAGGCTA